GTCTGAAACTGGGATGGAGCACCCAATCCACTGGCTCGCTGCGCTGGAAGGAGTTCAGAGTAAAGGCTTCAGGGTACATGATGATCCAGCTCTCTCTGATTCAGTACGCTCAAGAAAAGTGTGGGTACTCTCACCTGTTACAAGATGTATTTGCTGAATGGAAGAGTAGGCCGTAGTTGACGCGCGCCAATCGGTGCGTTCTTTACACGAATTCTACCAATTGATTCCTGACTTTCAGATTCGATAAACAATTGTCGTGGAACATATTTTGATTGTCCTGAAATTCACGCGCATGGTCACCGTGGCATAAGCGGTCGAATAGGCGAATGTAAAATAGAACAAAAACACGTTCTGACCTCGACGTGATTTGAACACGCAACCTTCTGATCTGGAGTCAGACGCGCTACCGTTGCGCCACGAAGTCCCCACGACGTTCATTGCACACAGCACGAGGGATGTTGATTATCGACCGACAAAAACTTCACTCGCTGTGAGACATGGAGCCAAGTTTGACACGAAACTTTATTTTGGGACAGATGAGATGCCGACGAAATACCAAAGTGTTTACTTACCAACCGTCGGATGATATCCTTTTTTTTCACGAGCAAATGTACGGCTCTGACCAAAGTGGCATTTAATTTAGAACAACGGTCGCTAACTCTTGTAATGTTGTACGCCTCGCACAACCATTGTAAGGGGGATAGAATCAAGGATGTGATGAATGGATACAAGACGAGGAATGGGAGAGGAGAGTGGGTGGGGAATGAGATCAGAAGGATGGAGAATGAGTCTAATGAGACGAGGAGAGGGAGGAGGAAGTAGCAGCGGCAGCAGCAGCGCCTCGACACTGCTGCTGCTGCACGGAGGAGTAAGATGAGCTGCGTCTGTTTTCACAGTGGGCGGGGAGAGGGGAGGGGTTCAGAGTGGGGGCAGCCACAGAGAAGGCACGTGGTTTACCGGAGGCTTCGTTTGACTTCTATTTCTACACGAAGCACAAATTGCGACCGAAGCTGGAATCCTGTTGCCACATCTGGGGTGGAGCAACCAGCTCCTACCTCGCTGCACTTGGTAGAGTTCAGAGTAAAGCAGTCTGGGTAATTGATTATCCAGTCTATCAGATTGAGTGCGGTGGGACAAAGTGTGGGCATTCACACTTTGTCAGTCGGTGCGTTCGTTTACTAAAAATTTCACCGGAATCGACGGCCGTTTCCTCACTTTCAGAATAAAGATAATAACGTAAATATACTTTTCGATTGTCCTCAAGTTCACTGGCACGGCAACCGTGACAGTTGCAACAGAAGCGTGACAGGGTTGTGAATGTAAAAAAAACAATTATTGACCTCGACGTGATTTGAACACGCAACCTTCTGATCTGGAGTCAGACGCGCTACCGTTGCGCCACGAAGTCCCCTCCTGAACACAGGGTCCGGACGCGCTAAATATATACACAGCATGGTGACCATTGATTACTGATTGCGCAATGCCTGCAGTTGCCAACTTTTCAACTGTCGACCGAACCCAGTCAGCCTCGGTGAGTGAGTGGGTGAGTGATTGAGTGGATGAATGACTGGATGGGTGCCAAGGTGAGTGAGTGATTGAGTGGATGAATGACTGGATGGGTGCCAAGGTGAGTGAGTGATTGAGTGGATGAATGACTGGATGGCTGCCAAGGTGAGTGAGTGGGTGAGTGATTGCGTGGATGAGTGACTGGATGGGTGCCAAGGTGAGTGGGTGAATGATTGATTGAGTGGATGAATGACTGGATGGGTGCCAAGGTGAGTGAATGGGTGAGTGATTGAGTGGATGAATGACTGGATGGCTGCCAAGGTGAATGAGTGGGTGAGTGCTTGCGTGGATGAGTGACTGGATGGGTGCCAAAGTGAGTGGGTGAGTGATTGATTGAGTGGATGAATGACTGGATGGGTGCCAAGGTGAGTGGGTGAATGATTGATTGAGTGGATGAATGACTGGATGGGTGCAAAGGTGAGTGAGTGATTGAGTCGGGTGAATGACTGGATGGCTGCCAAGGTGAATGAGTGGGTGAGTTTTGAGTGGACGAATGACTGGATGGGTGCCAAGGTGAGTGAGTGGGTGGGTGATTGATTGATTGGATGAATGACTGGATGGGTGCCAAGGTGAGTGGGTGGGTGAGTGATTGAGTGGATGAATGACTGGATGGCTGCCAAGGTGAGTGAGTGGGTGAGTGATTGAGTGGATGGGTGCCAAGGTGAGTGAGTGGGTGAATGACTGGATGGATGCGTGGGCAATGGCCGAGCCAGGATTTTCAGGTAGTGGAGGGGGCAACCCCTCAGACAAATTATAGGAGTTGTTAGTCAGTAAGGAGTTGTTAGTAAGGACTTGTCCCTTGCTTTTTATTCGACGCGTGTGCGGCGATGGCGCAGCCATCGATCGAGGGTCGAATTCGCGCTCGCTGAAGGTGAATGCCTCCAGGGAAGTCGTGTACTGTTTACGCAACTGCGCACAATTCTGAGAGTCGCTTATAACTGCTTTGCCGTTACTGATTGCCAATTATGGACTCAGACTATTGTCCTATCATCTCATAGAGTCCCTGGCACGTCATAATATGCTACACAGTGGCAGTGGGGGTCGCAAAATGCCGAATCTTTTACTAACTAGCTTTACTACTCGGCTTCGCCTGGGACTTTGATTCACCACGCCCGGCCGCCTTTGTCTCCCCGGTGGCGATGTTCACACACCACAGCAGTTATTTGTTTGAGGCTGAATCGACCTAGGGGAGGCCCAGGACCGATTCAAATAATCGTCACCGGTGGTGGCGCGGATCACGTGATATATGTGACGTCACTGCTCACTTGCCGTGTAAAAAATATATGCATTATTGAGCTCCCTCCCCCCCCAAAAAAACGAAAGTGTATTTTTATAATGTTTGCATGGTGTACAGTATGGAAAGTACCCACATGGCAAATGTCCAGTTTGTTGCATGTCGGGAAGTACGTTAAACATTTTGAACAGACACACATAATCACAACTTTGCCTTTTATATACATGGAGATGGAGATAAACCCCAATGATCCGATCGAAATGAGGTATTTCGATCGGATCATGGGGGGGGGGGAGCACGTGCCACCCCACCCCCCACTGGCTCCGCCAGAGTGCGTTGGGTGAGTTTGTGGGTGAATGGGTGGGTGGGTGAGTTTGTGGGTGAATGGGTGGGTGGGTGGGTGAATGGGTGGGTGGGTGAATGACTGGATGAGTGGGTGAGTGGGTGTTTGAGTGGATGGGTGGGTGAGTGGGAGTTTGAGTGGATGGGTGGGTGAGTGGGAGTTTGAGCGGATGGGTGGGTGAGTGGGAGTTTGAGTGGATGGGTGGGTGAGTGGGAGTTTGAGTGGATGGGTGGGTGAGTGGGTGTTTGAGTGGATGGGTGGGTGAGTGGGAGTTTGAGTGGATGGGTGGGTGAGTGGGAGTTTGAGCGGATGGGTGGGTGAGTGGGACTTTGAGTGGATGGGTGGGTGAGTGGGTGTTTGAGTGGATGGGTGGGTGAGTGGGTGTTTGAGTGGATGGGTGGGTGAGTGGGAGTTTGAGTGGATGGGTGGGTGAGTGGGAGTTTGAGCGGATGGGTGGGTGAGTGTAAGTTTGAATGGATGGGTGGCGAGTGGGTACGTTGGTGGGTTGGCTCATGGGTGAGTGAGTCAGCGCGTGGATTAGCGAGTAGTGGGTGAGTGGGCGTGTGTGTGGATGGATGAGTCAGTGGGTGGGTGAGTGGATAAGTCGGTGGGTGAGTGAGTAGTGAATTGGTGGGTTCGTGTCTGCGTAGGTTGGTGAGCGGTTGTTGGGTTGCCACTTTTTCCACTCTTGACCAACGCAGCTCGACGTCTCCGTCGGCCTCGGCCTGAGCACGGTAGGGCAGTGACTTCCAACAAAGGTCAACCTCCCCCGTCGCGTCCCTCGTGGGCTGGTCAAAGAGCAGCGGGCACCCGATCCGGGCCGGGGCCGGGGTGGGAGTGGTGGCGGTGGACTTTGATTACCGCGGCTCGGGCAGGGGAGGGGCTAGGCACGGAGGGGAGGGGCTATATATAGAGGGGAGGGGCTATGTACGGGGGAGGGGCTGTGTACGAAGGGGAGGGGCTAGGCATGGAGGGGAGGGGCTACACATGGGGGGGGGAGGGGGGCTGTGTACGGCGGGGAGGGTCTATGCATGGGGGGGGGGAGGGGCTATGCATGAGGGGGGAGGGGCTATATATAGAGGGGAGGGGCTATATATAGAGGGGAGGGGCTATATATAGAGGGGAGGGGCTATGCATGGAGGGAGGGGAGGGGCTATACATAGAGGGGAGGGGCTATATATAGAGGGGAGGGGCTATATATAGAGGGGAGGGGCTGTGCACGGGGGGGAGGGTCTATGCATGGCGGGGGGGAGGGGGGCTATTCTCTCCAGAGATGCCCAATAGCGGCGGAGCAAACTCCACTGACCTCTCACCCTGTCGCTGGCGGCGGCGGCGGTGGTGCGACTCGTGGTGGTGGTGGTAGTACAACAGGTGGTAGTGGCACTGCTGGTGCTGGTGGTGTTGCTGCTGGTGGTGGTGCTACTGCTGGTGGTGGTGCTGTTGGTGGCGCTGCTGGTGGTAGTGGCACTACTTGCTGGTAGTGGTGCTGGTGGTGGTGCTACTGCTGGTGGCGCTGCTGGTGGTGGTGACACTGCTTGCTGGTAGTGGTGCTACTGCTGGTAGTGGTGCTACTGCTGGTAGTGGTGGTGGTGGTGCTGCTGGTGGTGGTGGTGCTGTTGGTAGTGGTGCTGGTGGTGGTGGCACTGCTGGTGAACAATGCAGAGCGAGTTTGACGAGTCTGGCCTGCGTGCCACCGTCTCCTTCCAGCCTCTACCGCCCTTCTGCTTCGACTGGACGGGTACGCGCATGGCTAGCGAGCCCGCGCCTGTGTGCCTGTGTGTGTCCGCGTGTGTGTCCGCGTGTGTGTGTGTAGCCGGGTGGCTAAAGCACAGCCAGTTGGCACAGTAGGGGGCACAGGTGGTGCATCAGCCAGTCATCTCGGTCATCTCGGTCAGTCGACCCGTGGCACCTGCTGGGTCTGCCCCGTGACCTCCTGCCAGCGGGCGTTCGACACTTCACGTGGTAGCCTCAAGGTGCACTTGGCCTGGCACAAGCGTCGTGGTGACGTCACCGCGTGTGTCCGCGCGTGTGTGTGCACACGTGGTGCTGGCCACCCACCCCCTCGTGGGCCACCGTGTGGCGGCTCTGCTCACGAACAGCCCAAGGCCGTAGCCATGGAGCCAACGTTGGGGGGGAACAAATCTTCCAAATCAAAATTTGAAAACGAATTTCCTACCATTTCCTGCCTAAAATATTTAAAAATTCACTAACACATGGGATGGAGTTTTTATTTATTTTTTACAATGTCTAATAGTGTATTGTATAACATTGCTTTGTTTATTTCTTTTTTTTAGCCTTTCTTGTTTCATTGTATGCAATGGCAGAGATTAGGGATTAATAAAGTACAACCATAACCAGAATCATATAAACAAATTATTTTATAGAAATATATTGGGGGGGACATTTTGAGCATATTTGAATATTGGGGGGGTGGGGCGTTTCCCCCCCAATATCTCCATATATAGAAAAGGCAAAGTAGTGAATGTGTGTGTGTTCTAAATGTTTAGCGTACTTCTCGACATGCAACAAACTGGAAATTTTCCATGTGGGTACTTTAAAGACTGTACACCATGAAAACATTATAAAAACACACTTTTGTTTTTTTTTGGGGGGGGAGCTCAATAATGCATCTATTTTTTGCACGGCAAGTGAGCTGTGACGTCACATCTGTCACGTGACCCGCGCACGTGGAAGCGTAACGCGTTGTAGTGTAGCGGGTAGCGCTACGCTGCGCTACGAACCTGGCGACCCGAGTTGGATTCCCGCTCACGGCCACCACCGGTGACGATTATTTCAACCGCTCCTGGGCCTCTCCTAGGTCGACTTAGCCTCAAACGAGTAACTGGTGTGTGAATATCGCCACTGGGGAGACAAAGGCGGCCGGGCGTGGTGAATCCAAGTCCCAGGCGAAGCCGGGTAGTAAAGATAGTGTACTATAATTACGGCTTTGGAACAGCCCTTGCCCCAGCAGCCTGTTCGATACTGTACCGGGGATCTTTGACTTTGTGCCCTCGATAAAGATTGCAGTGGTTTACTGTAAAATGTGGTCCATAGTCTAACATTGCCGACAGACTACCATTGCCAACAGACGAACATTGCACAAAGAATAGCATTGCCCATCGACTAACATTGCACATAAACTAACATTGCACAGACTAACCCATAGCCGAACACTGCCCATCGACTAACATTGCAATAGACTAACCCATAGCTGAACACTGCCCTTCGACTAACATTGCACTTTGACCAACATTGCCCATAGACCAACATTGCCCATCGCTGAACATTGCACAGACTAATATTGCTCATCAACTAACATTGCACGTCGACTAACATTGCCTATCAGGCCTGAATGGCTGAGTGCTTGAACGGGTGACAGCGTTGAAGCCGCTGCTTGAATGTGGATGATGGTGCCTGGCTGCTGCTGCTGCAGGTGCAGCGGTGATTGAGAGATTTCCAGGCGGCTGCTGCCGGTGAAGCCGCGCTCTGGCTACGGCGCTTGGCGCTCATCAGACGAACTCCGTAGGTCGCGTTGCCGTTTTTTTTTGCCGCGATCGCCGCTCACCCCGGCGTCTTCCGGCTCCCCGCATGCCGCGTGGCCGTCTGGTTTGTGTCGCGGATCCTCTGGCTGACGCGGATCGGCCTCGCCGAGCACGACCGCGGCAAAACCATCTACCCCGGCGACCTGGACGACCCGCGGGCGCTGCTCTTCCTGCGGCACCTCGAGATGTCCTTCGAGCCCGCCTTCTGGCGGCAGATGACCTTCGCCGAGCGGACGGGCTTCCGGGTCTCGTTGTCCGTCGCCCACCAGGGACGGACCTCCTGGGTGATCCGCGGGCACCTGGAGGCGGGCCTCCACCCGGCGCCGCTCATGGCGTTCGTCAGTCAGATGGTCTATGTGGACGCGGAGAGCAGGCGCCCGGCGCCGCTGCCCGACTGGTTCCGCGAGACGCACCGGCACCTGGGGGGCTCGCCCGCTCCCGGCCTCCCGCGGCCGTACGGGGCCGGCGGCGCCGGGAGGCCGGCGAACCCGTTCCGCTACGAAGTGACGCCGGGTGCTAGCAGCCTGGACGCGAGCCGGCACGTCCACCAGGGCGAGCACGTGCGCTTCTGCGCCGATGCGCTGGCCGCCGGGCTGGCCGCGGCGGAGGAGGGCGGCCACGGCAGTGGAGGCGTAGGGGAGGGCGCGTGGAGCACGGCGCGGCTGGAGAAGCTGTCGGTGACCTTCGCGGGGGAGGCGTTCGCCGGAGACTCGCTGCTCGTCGAGTCGTGGGTGGAGGCCGAGCGGCCGCGCTCCGTTCTCTTCGAGGTGTCCAAGCGAGGGAGGCCGCTCGTGCACAGCGCGTGGACGTTTGGCGACGGCGGCCCGCGGGCCTCGCGTGCCAAGCTGTGAAAAGTTTTTGTTGCAATCTCCCCAGACGGTTGGGCAGCGTTCGCGACCCGGGTGGGTGGCTCGTTCTCCGTCCATCGTAGAGGGTCCACGCTTTGTAATGTGATACGCGACGTCAACGCACAATGTCCGCTCACTCTCGCAGAGAGAGAGAGAGGGGACGACTCAGGTGCCAGGAGGAAGAACTGCAGACGAACGGTTAAGTGGCAGCAGCAGCAGCAGCGGCCACTCTATTAAACACTTTTTTTATTTTACCAGGTAAAGCCCCACTGAGCTGTATAGCTAATTTTCAGAAGTGACCTGACCGCATATGATAGCTCAACAAAGTAGCCGATCACATGGAATTCTTTTGGAGCCGACGAATCTAAACGCATGTTTCTAAATGTGGAGCGAAAAACCAGAGGGCCTGGCTAAAAATACACACGACCACGGGGAGAACATGCAAACTCCAAATATACAGCAGCAGCCGTCAGGGTCAGGATCAAACCCAGAGCCTCCTGTATACCAGGCGAGCTAGTTAACATCTCGCCACCATGGCGCCCACTCGGTCAGGAGCCGGCACCAAATTCCCCTATGAGATCTGCACTGTAGTCCGTTGGCCGCCCTGGTAAATACTGTGCGAAGCCTACTTCACAGATGTTATTGTGAGTTCCACAATAACATCTGTGCATGATCCACCCACCCCGGTTGCTGCCTCCACAGCGCTGGACCACTACAGGCAGCGACTTGCAGCATCGTAGGCAGGAGGCCCACAGCCCGGCATGACGGATTTTAGTTTCGGCTTTTTTACAATTATGATTTCTACGCTGACTTCGTGCGACTCGCCCTGGTGATGCTTGATGCGGTTGCAAGCGAAACGTCGTGTCTGTGTAGTTGATGAAGTCTGCGGTGAGGATTTTGTCTTTCAACTCACCGGCGACCTTTCCGCCGAACATTTTGCCAGATTTTCAGGTTGGCCAAACCCCCCCCAAAAATATAAATTACGGATCAGATGTGGAACGACAGAATAATGCCGCGGGCAAAGTCTCCTTCGCATATCCGTCATATTGAAGAAGATGGATTGTCTGCTTGTATGTTGTTATTTACTGTCTCTGCAATGACACTGGTGACTACAGTAGAACCTCTGGTCACGAACGCTTCTGACCACGACCAAATCGGGTTCCGACCAAAAAATGCACAACATTTTTTTATCTGGTCACGAACACATTCTCGGGTGGCGATCAAATACGGCCGCGGCCGATTTCCCCTTCCGCGCCATTTTTTTTTGTTGAATTACACAAAGCGTAACAGTTATGTATGTAACTATTGTTATATAAAATTCCTAGTAAGATATTAATTTTGTGAGTGTAGTCATACCCCTCCCCCCTCATTCAAGCCATAATATAGAGAGCGAAAGCGCTGAGTACGTAAATCGCTAATATAAGAACCCGTTAATATCTTCTCGCTTCATTCATACGATGATGCGGTGAAGTAAACGTTCATACGATATTACGGCGAATGCTTCCAAAAACAATACTGTACCCAAATATTACTGTTAACTTACTTTCAATAGAAATATTAATTGCTCATACGAATATTCTCTCTCTCTCAATGTCGACCGACTGATGTAGCAGACGAAACAATAATCTTGTTGAACGATTCTAAACCTTGACGCGGCAATGTTAGTTTTCTGTTGTTCAAGGTTTTCTCAGTGTTATTCAATGTTTTTGCATTTAGTTTACTATTACACTGTGCATTCTATGGCATAATTAACTATTTTGTGCTTAAAAAATCTTTAAAAAACAATATTTATATACAGTTCGTAGGAGCCTGGAACGGATTAATCGTATTTACATACAATCCAATGGGGAAATTAGGTTGGAGTCACGACCAAATCGGGTTGCGACCAAAGTTATGGAACGAATTATGGTCGTGACCAGAGGTTCTACTGTATTTTGAGATGTGCAATATGTTAATTTTCTGATGACGCCTGCTTCATTTTGCAACCTTCTGCTGCGTAATAAAGAGATGATCGCATGGCGTCGGTTGAGACATTGCTTTGGGTTGTCGTCCATTCGCCGCATTCAACCTGACAATGAGCGGCGTGCAATCCCCGCTCCCTCTCTCGTCACCTTGTCCAAACTCGCACTGCTCGCACGCTCTCTGGCTTGTCGCTCAGTCTTGTATCGCTTTGCGACTCGCAGATGGCAGTGAGGCGGTGGCCCTCCGGGCTGTCAGGGTTCGCTCCATGGACAGCGTTTGCCCCCTCACCACGTCAGGTCTCGCCCAAAAAAACCAAATGAACAGAAACACCCACCGCGTCGCTGTGTCAATAACCACACCGTGTGTATGTGCGTGTCGCGCTAAAGGGAAAAAAACGGGTACCCGGGTACGGGTATCCGGGTACGGGTACCCGTTTGCGACCCTGGTGCGGCCGGGTACGGGTACGGGTAAGGAATCGGAACCCGTTTGCGACCTCTGGTCTGGGTATCAGGAGTTGACTCTCGTGCCGGTATCGCTAATGCTGTTGGATTCTACCGCTGTGTTGCTGCTGCTGCTGCTGCACGGCATTGATTACAGACCCAGTACCGACTGAGATATCTGTCCACGTTTACTCGACAATGGTTAAGGTTCATCTTCTTGGTTCTTTCGGTAAAGTCACGTAGAAGGGAAGTAATAAAATAATAAAAATAAAACATAATAAAACAATTCTCACGACGTTTCGGCCACAACGCAAGCAGCCGTCCTCAGGTGAAAACCAGGTCCGTCGAGGCGACAGAGTCTGAATGAAACAGCACACGGGCTTGGAGCATATATATAAGCTGGGCGCATTGACAAAGGAATTTGCATATCAAAAGGAATTTAGCATATTTATGGGAAATGCAGGAATGTGATTAGTACTGCATATGCATGTGCATTATGCAGGATTAACAGCATCAAAGGGAGCTGCAGTTACTGCTGCTGCAGCAGTTGCTGCTGCTGCTGCAGTTTCTGCTGCTGCTTTTGATATGCAAATTCCTTTGTCAATGCGCCCAGCTTATATATATGCTCCAAGCCCGTGTGCTGTTTCATTCAGACTCTGTCGCCTCGACGGACCTGGTTTTCACCTGAGGACGGCTGCTTGCGTTGTGGCCGAAACGTCGTGAGAATTGTTTTATTATGTTTTATTTTTATTATTTTATTACTTCCCTTCTACGTGACTTTACCGAAAGAACCAAGAAGATGAATCCCTGCAGTCACGAAAGCTTTAAATCGAAATGGTTAAGGTGGCAACCCAACCACTCACCCACACAACAACAATAACCGCCATTCGCCGCTAAGTGACGGGGACGAGGACACGCCACCACACCCCTTGCACGATCACGGTGGCAAGGGTGGCGTAACGAATACAAAAACATCTTTGGGGTTAAAACAGGCACGCTTAAAATGAAAAAAAAAACTACGAATGAACAACAAAGTGGCAGTGCATGGCGGTTATCGCCGGTCTTCTATAGAGACTTGTCAACACATTTACAACAAAACGGTTATTTCTAAAACGCTAAATGAGGCCAAATATTTTTTTCTGCTAATTCACCACGGAGATGGATTTGTCTGGGATATAAAAATCGAGCCCGCTGCCGTGTCTTTGTCACCACAATGCCGTGACTCGGATTCGAACCGAGGTTGCTGCGGCCACAACGCAGAGTACTAACCACTATACGATCACGGCGAGCTACGCGGGCTCGCGATCACGGGGGCGCCGGGAGCCCCTCTTATAGCCGGGACCCCGCTGGGCACGTGGTGCCCGGTGGAGTCACCCAGCCCACGAATCTTTGGATCGTGGTGTGAGCTTTTGGGTGTCAGTGGGAATGTATGTCCTCGGCCTCCCCTAGGTCGACTCGGCCTCAAATGAGTACCTGGTGCGATGTGTAAACATCGCCACTAGGGAGACAAAGGCGGCCGGGCGTGGTGCTGGCCACCCACTCCTTCGTGTGCCGTTCCAGCCTTCATAGGTGCTCGCTAACAACACTTGCCCCAACAGTCTGTTCAGGCTATATGGGGATCGTTGTCATTGGAGTGTGTGTCCGTGTGTGAATATGGTGACTCATTGCGCCCCTTCCGACAAGCAAGCCAGCATCAGGACTCAAGGTAAGTGAAAATAAAACTGATGTTTATATTCATGTTATTTTACTTTAACTTATATTCACAATACAGTATGATTTTTACAATGACACATGCACACATTTACAATATTTCTTATGAGTTGAACGATGATTCCCTTATTAGTCGAACCGTAACACATTTCACAACACTGATCTATGGGCATTTAAATATTAAATATAGTACATAAATTCAAGTGTTCTGACTTATTACGTAACCTCATATAGCGCGCATGAGAATGACTCATAGAGGCGCGACCAACACCAACGATTTTCCGAGCTCTGCTGTCCTCTGTATAAAGGCATCAGTTAATTAATGACGAGCGTTCATACAAGTGGGGGAAACCAGAGGACCCAGAAAAACACCACTCGTGTGAGGGGGCAACACTCTATCCCCGTACAGACGAAGATGGCGACTAGTCCACTGGCTGTACTGCCTCCTGGCGAGGAAGGTTATGGCACCTCCACGCCCACGGGAAGGGGAATTTACAACATCCACCAACCCTGGCTGCCTCCCACAGTGCTGATGATAACAACAACAATGAAAACAATAATTTCCACTTATAATAATAAGCAAGCAGTTATTGGAGGTGCGAGGAACCACGTATAATCAGGAAGGAAGCCCCGTGGCGAGGTGGCACCTACAATTGTCCAAGCTCTGTGGCCCTATTGTTAAGTTGTTATCGACCAAATGACGAGTGTTTACGTGTGGGAGCACCCAGAGAAGACCCGCACGTGCCAGGAGGCGACACTTTTGCGCATGCAGATGAAACAAGTCCACATTTCTCTGCTGGACTGCATTGCCCTGTCTGTGGTTTCTCGCAGCACACACACATTGCAATCTCAGATTCATCTTCATGTTAATGACATTCTATGAATCTTATGCAACGATTACAGCCCCGAACCCCGCCAATCCGCCCCGTCCGAAGCCTCCATGGCCCCAAAGTTGGTCTTCTTGGTGTCCCGGTCCCAAGCTGTTTGGCAACGCGGCCTCTCTCCGAGAGCCTCTAAAAGTTCTTCGTTGACCGAATCCACGGGTGGTCCATTGCCTTGTCAGGGCTCATTCGCTGCTCTGGATCCCACCTGAAAATGCCAGGTACAGACCCCACATCATTAAAGCCACCATGTGAATGGTGCCACGGGTCTATTTATCCGCGGCACTAGCTATTTAACTTTTTTATTTTGTTATTTTACCAGGCAAGGCCCACTGAGCTATACGGCTCTCTTCAAGAAGTGACCTGGCCACAAATGATAGCTGAACAAAGTGGCTTATCGTGTGGAAATGTACAGCAGCCAAATATTCTAAATGCTTGTTTCTAAATGCGGAGGGAAAATCCAAAGGACCCGGAGAAAAATCCACTCGACCACGGGGAGATGCAAACTCCAAATAAATATGGATCAGGGTCAGAATCGAACCCACGACCTCCTGTATACCCTGCGAGGTAGTTCACATCTCGCCACCGTGGCGCCCAATTGTGATCACACGACAGAGGCAAAACGGCACGGTGCATACCAAAAATTAACGCGGCCACTTCATGAGTGTTTGTACAAGTGAGAGAACAGGAATACCCGGAGAAAACGCACGCATGGAAGGGGGAAACACTCTATCCCATGCGGACAGAGATGGCGATTATCCCACTTGCTGTACTGCCTTCTCCTGGCCAGCCAGAATATGCCACCTCGACGCCCACTACACCATGAACCTGGTGAACCGAGTTGCAATTTCTGGCCACGGCTAACATCAGTAGCGAGTGACGGCTGGACTGGTCTCAAGGCTTGTCCACTCCCCCCGCTCCACACCCCCTTTTCTCCCGTCAACAACTAGCACAAACCAGTGGTCAACCCACACGACCCAAAGTTTTCATCCAGCAGTGGATTGGCAAAGGGCTTCTTCGTATGGCTGACGTAGGTGGAGAGAGCGACAACTATTATTTTACATTGAGGGAGTAGGCGAGTCAAATGATGGTATTAGGAGTAGCGGTGAATCATCCCTGTGGCGATGCCTCCACCTTCCTACTTGTGAATAGGGCAGCGAGTCGGCGTACGTTCCATGATTCTGCCCAGGGTTGGCAGGTAACCCAGTCTGACATGGTTTTAGCGGATGTGCGGTTGAGGGTTTGCGACTGTACACTAATTCCTTGTTAAACGCGCTACCTGAGTTCCTGAAAATAGCGAGGAATGACCGCACATTCACGGACACCACAAAGTCGCACTGTACGATCCACGTACTGCTCATCATAGCGGATCATTTGTTGCTGCACGTGGTGAGATCTTGCCATGCTTGCATGCAGCTACACAGGTGTGTATCGCGATTATCACATAATAAGGGGGAGGGGTTGGGGGGGGAGGGTGTGTACGTACGTGAGGCATTGCCGAATAAAGTCGATGAAGTCCTCATTGCTCGCATTCAGCCGTCTCTTCAACTTGACGCTGCCCGGAGGCTTCAGGTACCACTTGTAATCCAACACGACCCGCGGTTTGTTGCATTCATCTGAGGATAAAAGTACTTTGCATGAACTCGGCAGTTCGTAGAGTGCGACTCGCAGGGCCAGATTAAGGCAACGAGGGGCCTAAGTCTGACTAACAGGAGAGAAGGGTCTAAGCACATATCACGTTTTGAAAAAAATGTGTACGGAGTCATGAAACAATTATTCATTTACCTGCGTAATACATATTTGGCTCCAGGTAAATTAATCGTTTCTTCAAACAAACAACAAAAACATCTAATTCTAGATTTGAAGCTTTCGTGACTGCAAGGATTCAAACTATTAGGTTTTTTCGGTAAAGTCACGTAGGTAAAAATGAATGAAATAAATAAATAATAAACTAGCAGAAATAATATTAATAAAATTATAAATCACGACGTTTCGGAGGCAACACAAGTCTCCGTCATCAGGTGGGTCCGTCACTACTGAATTTACTGTATCACTTTTATTGATATTATTTCTATTATTTATTATTATTTTTTATTTTTACCTACGTGACTTTACCGAAAAAACCTAAGAGTAAAAAAAACATCTTCCTAGCTTGAGCAAATGTACGAATGATGTCATCGTAATTCACTGGGAAAAAAATTAACCCGTAAAAACAAAGTTTTTCACTATAAATCCTTTATATGCGTGGCGGCTAGAGTCCTCTCGTCCTCTGGCTTGAGTTGGCTGCCACCTATGGGTCAGATGATTGCCTGCCACCATTAAGCAATTGGTAATTAAATATAATTTATTTTTTCCTAAAAAGTGTAAAATTTTGGAAAAAAAATTTCACGAAAATAAATTGTCACGCACAACGAGTCTGTGTGCAAAATGTCAGCTCGATTGGATCACGGGAAGTGGGTTAAAAAACGACTGAAAGATTTGCACGGTCGTAAGCGCGCAAGCAAGCAAGCAAGTGAACTTAATATAAAGGATTTAAAAAATGTTCCAACGGCCGCGTTACCCTCGCTTAGCCGGTACGTCACGGTGGAAAGGGGGGGTGGTGGGGGGCTACAGAATGAGGCCTGAGGCCGTTTGCCTCCAGGTTAATCCGTTCCAGGAGACTCGTCACTCAGTCAACTCGCGGTTATCTCCAGGGTGGGAATATGCGAGCTATGGGGTAACCGCGGCGCTTGCAGATTCAAGAGTATATTGTTGCACCATGATAATTGTTTTTTTACCCTTCTATCTGGCAACAAAACTGACACCTTTTTTACAAGGAGTCATGTTTGCATAGACCACAATACCTGCAGTCATAATGCAAACAAAAAACATGACTCTGATAATGTATGCACTGTCCTTGAAGTTGATTGGTCCACACCCGAGACAGCTTTCCTTAGAGCCTAGTCTCACGTGGTGTTGGACCAGATGACGCCAAAAGGCTGTCGCGGGTGTGGACCAATCAACTTCAAGGACAGTGCATATATTATCAGAGTTATGTTTTTTGTTTGCATTTTGGCTGCAGGTATTGTGGTCTATGCAAACATGACTCCTTGTAAAAAAGGTGTCAGTTTTGTTGCCAGATAGAAGGGTAAAAAAACAATTATCATTATTATATTGTTGCACTCACGCTGTCTCTATCATGAGCTGCTCATCGCACGTTGAGTGTCGGTGGCCGGGTGACCGGGTGGCCACAAACGCGTCGGTTACGTGAACCGATCGCTCTAAGAAACAAACGTTTGACGCATTCTACGTCTTTGCTGCCATTCTGCATGGGTAGAGCAGTGAACATGCTCTCACCCAGATTGACTTAACAATACTAATACAAATATTTATTTTCTATAACGGAAAAAGCTTATAATGGGAAATAATAATCATAATTAGTATGTATACAGTGTTCCCAAACAATAGAGATGAAGACTGAAGAATAAGATGAAGAATTAAAGAGAGAGAGGTAGGATTTTAAAATCGAAGTTTCGTCTCTACCTACTGCGAATTCCTCACCTCCAAGGGCAGGGAATTCCAGAGTCTGGGTGCTGTACAATCAGGAGCCCTACTGCCACACAGTCTAAGCCTGGAGCGTGGCTACATTGGGTCGTGCATCATTGTTATTGACTGTATTATCTGTTATCTTTGTGGTTACTCATTCCTCTAAATCATTCCAGGATGTTACCGTGTTTTAAACCATGGTAAGCACCGTGAGCACATGTGCTCTATGAATATAAAATAAATAGATATTTGTTTTGGTTGTATCTGGACCACACGTTTCTCCATTCCTAGAGACAATCGAGAGCTGTCTGCACTATAAATGTGTGGATGTTCAAAGCAATGAAAATTGGCATGCAGCCAACCAGTCTCACCGAAGTAGGTTGTTTTCAGCGGGGAAGCCCGAATCATCGACGGTGGAGGGACGCCCAAGACCTGCACACGTTACAGGGATGAACAAGCAGGATCACGTTTCATCACGGGTGCTTGAGGGCAATACATGCGTCAACGCAGAAAAGCAAGATCCTCCATGGGGCATTAGTGTTAAACAGTTAACGGCTGAATGTTTCTCACCTGCGCCGACAAATAGAATCAAGCAATCAATCAACGTTACTGTGGCCTCGATGTCTAAAGCACATGTATTAGGTGCTGCGGTGGTGAGATGTTTACTATCTTGCCTGGTATACAGGAGGTTGTGGGGTTGATCCCAACCCTGACGCCTGTATATTTGGAGTTTCATGTTCTCCCCGTGGTCTCGTGGATTTTTTCCGGGTCCTCCAGATTTTCCCTCCACATTAACAAACATCCGTTGAGAGGATTTGGCTGCTACAAATTTCCACATGATAAACCACTTGCTTGAGCTATTATCATGTGGCCAGGTTGCTTCTGAAAAGAGCTATATAGCTCAGTGGGCCTTACCTGGTATAATAAAAAAAGTTTCATTTTAAATAGTTTAGCTGAGAAAGGAGAGAAGTGGAGCTGATAGAGCAGCGGTCGGGAACCTATGGCTCGCGAGCCATATATGGCTCTTCCGGTGATGGCATATGGCTCCCAGACAATTATGAGTTGAAAAAAAAAAAATAATAATAATAATAAATCAGTTTGGAACTGATTTTAAAATACTTGTGATATTGCTTAATAATACCGTGTCATTTTAAAGTAGATAAAATTTCTCGGGTCACGGATCCCGTGACCAGAAGTCGCATTAAAAGTAAGACATATTTAATTTATTATACGTTAAAAATACTATATGGCTCGCAATGAAATATATTTAGAAATATTTGGCTTTTATGGCTCTCCCAGTCAAAAAGGTTCTCGACCCCTGTGATAGAGGATAGAGGAAGAGGCAGCAGCCTAATCAGGAGGGGCTGGTCCTAAGGAGTAAAAGGATTTGGGAATAAAATGGTGGGGCCTAAAGAGGGATGGGCAAAACCTGCAGAGGTTGAACATCTCTCTTTGTTTAAGGCAATGCACAAGCATGGAATCAAATACATGCAACAGCACACGTTTAGTGCCGCATATGCGGGCAAAGTATTTTTACATTTTCTTTCACTTGCAATGTAGCATTATTGATAAACTAAGTTCTCTGAAGTGCCTTTACCATTAGTAAACTCAAAGCCCCCATACATCAGGTGTAAATATATTTCTGTAGTGTTGTAAATTAAGGCGGACGATTTCTTGTATTCTATCTGGGCCACTTTGTTACAGTTTGTTTATATAACACTTGTTTAGTCCAGCCAAGGATCCGCTCGTTCGCTCCCTCACTCGCCGCGTCCCTATCCTATTCCCCGCTCTCCTTCCCTATCCTATTCCCTACTCTCCTTGTTTCACCCCTCCTGGCTGCCGTGTCTCGCTGTCTCAGCAGGTTGACACCACGGCAGCCGCGGCGTTAAGCGTGCCGATGTACGGACTACGCTTATGCCTTTAGCGTCCTACTCCTGATCTGTACGGGGCCCGTGTCTCGCTGTCTCAGTGGGTTGATACCACGGCAGCCCCGGGGGGGTCAAGCGTGCCGACGTACGGACTGCGCTTACCCCTAGCGACCCTATCCTAGCCTACCCAGGTCCACACAGGACTACTCTCGGCCAAGAATACTCTAACTAGCTAATACTCTAACTAGCTTGGCGGGTCCGGCTTCAGCTTCTCTTGTCTTCTGTCTTCATCATACTGCCTCTCGGGCTCGTTTTGCCTGTCTTATAAATTCCTCGCGACCCCTTCCAGAACATTCTCCAGAAGATCCCTCGATGATTGGCAGATACCGGTCTTTTGAATTCCGGTCCACCTCCCCCCTTGTTTACCCCAACGGAATTACCCCAACGGTCATCCTGACCCTGGCTGCTCTTGACATCCCCACAATGACGCTCACCAACCGCCTCTTCTGGATACCCAGCGCGGACATGCAGCCGTTCTCGAATATGCGTGTGTTGAACCACTACATTTCTAATAAAATAAAACATTGACGGAGGTAAAAACCCAATCAGAATAACAAATTCTTAGGTTTTTTCGGTAAAGTCACGTAGGTACAAAATAAAAATTAATAAAAATAATAATAAAAGTAACGAAACGTCGTGATTTTTATTTAATTTTTATTTTACTTTTATTAATTTAAATTTTTTACCTACGTGACTTTACCGAAAAAACCTAAGAATATGAATCCTTGCAGTCACAAAAGCTTCAAATCTAGAACAGAATAACAAAACCAAAAAGGTGAAACCAAAATGGAAACGTTGCCAACTGATTATCATCATACTCTTTGGGTCTTTTGGTAAAGTCACGTAGATAGACCCAAAGAGTTTGAATTCCTGCAGTCACGAAAGCTTTAAGTCATGATTATAATCAGTTGGCTACGTTTCTATGATAAAAACCAATAATTATCGGTGGAAAGCTACTACGATAAAAACTGGTAGAACATTGAAGCCACAATTCCATGGAATCCAGTCAAATAGCAAGGGAAGCAAACATTGTGATTTTAATAGTGAAAACACCACAATCAACTAATCGTTTCCTAATTCCACCGCTACCTGTCTGCAATATCGGCCACTATTGCCGCTGCTGTGCCTGTTCTCTTTGTTTTCAATCTCAGATTCCCGCTAGGTTTCCTCAGCCCGACTCGCGAGCGACACTCGCCTCCATGATGAGGGCGAGCTGGTGGGCATCGTGGTGGCCTGGGAAAAGAATCTCCCCAGAGTACAGCTCGGCGATGATGCAGCCCAGCGACCACATGTCCATCGGGCTGCTGCTCTTTAGGCCCAGGATGGCTTCTGGCGCGCTGTACCAGATCCTCTGAATGTCAGAGAGCGCTGCGCAGGACGAGACACGAGATGCCATATCAGACCCCTGATGCCTCTGCCATGAGTCCAACGCAGGAGGCTCCCTTCAGCAGCAGCAAAAACATCCATTCTTTCCTTGCCAGCAAGCGCGCGGACACAGCCCATTGGTCAGTCTACTACTGGACGCGGGCCTCTACGCGCAGTTGCTGGTCGTGGGGTTTATTTGACCGTACGTCACCATTCTGCTTGGTGCGGGTTGGTGACGAGGACGGCCGGATATGTATCGACAAGTCCATGCATCACCATTGGAACCTCATTTGCCAGAAAAAAATATGATAATTGGTTTTTTACCCTTCTATCTGGCAACAAAACTGACACATTTTTTACGAGGAGTCATGTTTGCATAGACCACAATACCTGCAGTCATAATGCAAACAAAAAACATAACTCTGATAATGTGCACTGTCCTTGAAGTTGATTGGTCCACACCCGAGACAGCTTTCCTTAGAGCCTAGTCTCACATGGGTTGGACCAGATGATGCCAAAAGGCGCACAACTCAAAGACAATGCACCATCAGAGTATATATTGCTCAACAATGGATGTTGCCCTTATCTGGGATTTGAATGTGAAGTGTTCGAACCGTTATCCGACCGTTCCACCCCTTTCATGGAGCTATCTACAGAAGGAATGCTCCTGACTAAAACTGTCATTTTGGTCCTTTGGAAAGCAAGCTTTACAACTACATCCTGGCAATCGTACCTCTTTCTCCATAGCAGCTAAGGCCAAAGTTGATCGTCTTGATCGTATTTTGTATAAGCACGATGTTTTCCTAAGGAAGCATGGGGAGGGAGATTGAGCAGAGGTGAGATTTGGAGAGAGCACGCACATTCGTCCATCCCAATGCACGGCATCTTAGTGGTCAATGCGTCGTTGCAAGTGACCGGTTACGCATTGAGACGTCGCTGTCCGGGTCAAGCTGACATCATTTGCAGACTTGGAGTCGAGGCTTTGCTCATCTCCATTTCATATCACAAAGTCAGGTGCCGAGTATTGAAACGCTAAACAGCGATGTGTACGTTGTCGTGCGAGCGGTCAGAGTCGCTTTCGCTGCAGATAGATGTTACCTTAGATTTTAATTGATTTGACTAATTTATCAAGGAGAGCAACACTGAGTCGTAGGAGTCCTCTTCAGGAGGGTCCTGCCACGTTGTGTTTTTATTTAATTTTTTTTTTATTTATTGTACACGTGGGAGGAAATCGGAGGACCCAGAGAAAACCCATGCCTGGTGTGAGGCGGCAACATTCTATCCCTGTACAGATGGAAACAGATGGAGATTAGTCTCCTTGCTATATCTCTTTCTGGCGAGCCAGGGCATGGCACTTCCTCCGAGATGTCCCACGGAAAGGGAATTTCACGACATTTGTGTGCCGTGATCCACAGCGCTGGACACACATTTCACTAACGCCATTTGACCCCCCCTGACCCTTACCGGCTTCAAGTCGCCGTGGCTGATTCCTTCTTTCCGCAGCAGGCTCAAGCACTTGAGCAAAGCACGAGCGTACAAACGCACGGACTGCATTGTAGGTACAGTTTCCGCCGTCTTCATAGCCTTCCGTAGATCGAGTCTATTGCACGAGGGCATGCACACGGTGAAAAATGTGAGTTAAAGATGCACAGGCTACCTCCTTTACACCCGGAGGGATCATTAAGGAAAATAAAAATATCGGTTTTCAGTTTGGTTGCCGTGCCGCCATGCAATCTGATATTCATTATTACTTTGATTAGGGATGCATCCCTGGAAAACGTCATGTTCGGTGAAATAACGTAACTGGAAACAGATTTTACCCTTGGATTAGTGATTTAAATTCTGAATATGTTCCTGGGGATAGTTATTGTTGGTAGATACATTTAGAAAAATATTAATTCCAAGATAAGATACCAAAATATACCCAAAAAGACATATATAATAATTTAAAATATATAATCTAAGTTAACACGAAGTACTCATCAGAGACAGCAGTGAAGATTGCATTTATAGAAGATAGTATAGTGTACAATATGGCAATCTTTTAAAACAATGGAGCGAATCAATGCGTTTAAAATCGACATACACTGTCTAATCCATAGGCGACATGAAAGTGAACCAACAATGTAAATAGAAGAAACGAAAATCGAGGACTTTGTATGCCCGGTTGAAAAACAATCCTTGCAACCACT